GGTGTCCTCACACCTTCCACCCCAGCTGTGAGGGGGCAGAGACAGTCAAGTCAGATTACCTAGTAACCTAGCTTCTGATCCCAGGTAACAGGAAGAATGTCAGTCAGGACAGTGTTTCACACTACCAACCTCAAAATAACTGCTTCATAATGCCTGACCTTCCCTTAACCTCCACAGCAGCACCTTCCGCTTAAGGGGGAGGAACGAGAGCAGGGTTCCTGGACAGGGCCTACGGTCTGCCTATAAATCCCTGACCTCTCTCATCTCCAAGTTTTTGCTTTCTATATGGCATCCCCTGCTCCCTAAACTTTCTCTCTCCTGTGGGCTGTACTGTTGGGACAGTCGCTGGTAAACTGTTCTAACAACAGTCTTAGTCCTACTGGAATAAAGCTGTAGAAATATAGCCAGAAAAGGGATGTTCTGTAAGTATATGAAGCAATTAGCCAAGGCCAAGGCTGTAACAGAAAGGCCAAGGAGCAGGTTCCTGGCAGTCAAATTTACCTATTAGCAGTGAAGACCCAAAGTAAGCTAGCCACAGGAACACAGGAAAACATAACAAGTACATTCATGTAGTTAGAAAGCAAATGACCACTTTACAACTTATACAGCTTATAGATACCAGGGGGTTCTTTTATATGGGACAAGAGAGAGGGGGGGAAAAAGGAACTAAATATTGAAAAACTAAACCAGCGGTGGTGATGCCCACGTAGGTCCCAGCTCTTGGAAAGTGGAGGCAGGAGGATCAGAGAGTTCAAGACAGAACGGGATTTGGTTTTAGAGACATGAGATGGCCTATAGAAACTAAGTAAGTTTTGTGGGGTTTCTCTTGCACTGGCAAAAGAAAGTGAAACTGTATCTTTCATTCCATGCTTCTCACTCCAAGCCAGGGCTCTGAAATTCAAGAGGTCCTTTCAACAATGAGTCAGCCTCTGAGATACTCCTAAACTACCCTCTGGTCAGTGAGTGCACATCTCCAAGTCACTGCATCAGCTCTCAACACTGGCTTCAGCAGCAGCGCTCTCAGCCAGTGTTCTCACTTTGCTTGGGGAAAGGACTTACCATGTAACAGGGCTGCCCTGTAACTTCTCATTAGCCTAGCGTGGCACCAAACTTATGGTGCTTAGGCCAGTGAGTGCCGGGATTGCAGGCTGTGCCCACCACACTCAGCTTCATTTACAGTTTGCATTGTCTGTTTGGTTTTTGGAGACAGGGCTTCTCTGTGTATCCCTGGCTGTCCCAGAACTTACTCTGTAGACAAGACTGGCCTAGAACTCAGAGGTCTGCCTGCCTCTGCCTCCTGAGTGCTGAGATTAAAGGTACCACTGCCTGACTTATTAATTTTTAAGTGTATGTGGGTGTTTGGCTTGCATGCATGGCTGTATACCACATGTAGGTTTGTCACTGTAGAGGCCAGAACACTGTAGGGCTGAAAACCAAACCCAAGTCTTCTGTAGCAGTAAGTAGCCACTGAGCTCTCTCTGCTTCATTCACATTTTTGTGGTTGCTTTTATTAGGTTTTTTTTTTTTTTTTATGTTTCTGGGCATCAAAACTAGGCCAGCCTTTAATTCCAGCTGGTCAAGGTGCTTGCCACCAATTCTGACCACCTATCCCAAATGAATACATGTAGGGGAAAAATTTTATAGAATAAGGCCAGTGAGGCAGCTCAGTGGTTAAAGGTACCACTGACTATGCCTGAGGACCTGAGACCTGAGTTTAATCCCTGGAATCCGTATTTTAGAAAAGAAAAATGCTGAGCAGAGGCAAGTGGATCTCTGTGAGTCCAGTAAATAAATACATGTCCCTCTCATATATGAGATAGTAATAAATAATAAAAAGAGAGACTAAAACAATAGGATATTGATTTTATTTTGCTCTCCAGCAAAAATGTACATAACTGAATATTGCCTAAAATTTAAACTGCATGGCATGTACTACTTACAAACATTTCAGCTGGGCACGGTGAAATGTGCCTATAAACCCAGCAATTCCAGGCTGAGGAACGAGGAGAGTCTGAGGCTGTACAGTACGACCCAGACTAAAACCAAGAGTTAGGCAAGTATGGTGACTCATATGCCTTTAATACCAGCACCTCTGAGGCAGAGACAGGTAGATCTCTGAGTCTGAGACTAGTCAAGGCTACTCAGTGAGACCCTGTCTCAAACGAACAAGAGTTTTTGGGTAGGTCCTTGAGTTCAAGACCACCCTGGTTTACTGAGTGAGTTCCAGGATAGCCAGGGCTAAATAAATAAACTGTTGATGCTAGAAACAGTCTTACTCTGTAGCCCAGACACCCTGGACTCCGTGTGAGGCCCAGACTGGCCTTGAATTAAAGGAGGTCCTTCTCCATCAACTGAGCGCTGGAATTACAGGCATGAGCCACTACATTCAGCCGAAACCTTAGTTAACAGGTGTTTTCTATGAAGTATTTAACCGCTAAGGAACCAGAATGACACCAGCCGCACCTGGGAGGCCGTCAAGCAGTTCCAGGCCAGCCTGGCCTATCTGGTTAGGACCAAGTCAGAATGTCCTCGACAACTACCATTCATCACCCTCAATTCTGCCTGCAATGTTAACACTGACAGTTATTTGTTTTGGTCAAGCTACATCACCACTGGGTACCACACTGTTGGTAATTCCAACATTCTACTCTACAGTCAAAGTCAACGATGTGGTAAAATGCCTTAAACACATCAGCTCTCTAGCTTTTTAATTTTAAAAAATGTATCATAAGCCGGGCGGTGGTGGCGCACGCCTTTAATCCCAGCACTCGGGAGGCAGAGGCAGGCGGATCTCTGTGAGTTCGAGGCCAGCCTGGACTACCAAG